GGTTTCAAAGAGTTTAAGACATTTCGATATTGAAAGTGAGTTACAAAGAAGTGTTTCTGAATCTAAAGTTACTTTATGGGATTATGAAGATGACAAGATCAAATTTTGCCAAAGGTATGTATTATGTAACACAAAAATCATTAAAACATTAGAGAAATTTAAATTGGGTTTATTAAAAGTTGGAATTTTTTTTTTATTTAGGTATCAAAGAGAAGAAGCTAAAATTCAGGCTTGGGTTAATCTTCAAAATGCTAAAGCAGAAGCTCAATCAAGGAAACTTGAGGTATGTGTATATGTATATGTAGAGATACCGTATCGATGCCGTATAAAATACATTTTTTGTTTTGTTTTGTTCTAACAGATTTGTCGAGCCATGTGTCTAAATTTAGTGTAATGTACTTACTTGAGTTCATTGACTAGTCTTTTGTTTGCTTTTAGAAGCAGAAAAAAAAGTCTTTGAGTTTCTAATTTTTTAAAAGTAGTTGATGACATCTTTGTGTAGTAGTGTACTTGTAATTTGTGCAATCCCATGTGAAAAAAGATTAGTATTCTTTTAAGTAATCTACTCTTTTGGGAAATTGTATAGACTTTAGATTAAAGTATTTGATCATGTATTGTGTAGGTGTGTAGCTATATAAGAAAATCATGAAGCTATTTTAATTATACAAGTCCAAAATTTACAATGAACTCATGTGATATAGCCGTTGAAATTTCACTATGTTTATCTATAGACCAATGTTTGAATCTTTTCATTGCTATTTTAATAATGGTTGAATGATTAATTTTCACTTTTTGTGAAATTGTGTTTTTATTGTTTAAGGTGAAAATACAAAAGATGAGATCAAATTTTGAGGAGAAATTGATGAAGAGAATGGATACGGTTCATCGGAGGGCGGAGGATTGGAGAGCTACGGCGAGGCAGCAACATGTTGAGCAAATGCAGAGAGCCGCGGAGACGGCGAGGAAGTTGACAAACCGCCGTGGCTATTTGGTTACTGGCCGTAGCTCATGTGGTTGTCTTCCTTGCAATAATACTTGCCATTAACTT